AATGATGGGCAGTGTGGCCATGTAGGCACCCCGTGCAGGTGTTCCGGCAGCCAGGCAATAGGTGACGTGGTCATTAAAGTAGCCACACGGCGAGGCTGCGGGGACCATGTTCTCTCTTTGGAGGCTGCTAATTGTAACAATAATGTGCCACCTATGCTAGAAATGTCAAACATGAGGCTGTCCAAATGTTGGAGCCATTCTCAAGTTTTTCCCTATTGTTTATACTAATTGAAGTACTAAAGCTGTACTGTTGACTCTGTTCGTTTATTGTTATAATATTATTTTAATATTGTTATATATAGTGACTTGTTTTTGTAACAGTCTGTATTCTAGGACATTCAGAGTATTGACATTATTTTATATATAACAGTTCCCTTTGCTTTCCCCCGATGCAGAAGCTGCACTACGGGGTCTTCTTGGGGCCCTGACCAGCACCCCATACTCTCCCACACAGCACCTGGAGCGAGAGCAGGCTCTTGCAAAACAGTTTGCAGAAATCCTTCATTTTACACTCCGGTTTGATGAGCTAAAGGTAATTTCAGAATGATTCCAGATTCTTTTAGAATGGAATCAGTAGATGTTTATTGCCAGGATATATTGATCCTTCACCCTTTATTTCCCCCCTTTCTAGATGACAAATCCTGCAATTCAGAATGACTTCAGCTACTACAGAAGAACGTTGAGTCGCATGAGAATCAACAATGTCCCAGTAGGTGGCCTCCCTTTAGAACTGGAGAAAGTAATTCGTTGTCATCTTCTGTTTGGCTTGCCTATTCAACACCAATAAAAACTGATTTTTATTTTTTGTTAGGCAGAAGGAGAAAATGAAGTAAATAATGAACTGGCCAACAGAATGTCTTTATTTTATGCTGAAGCAACGCCCATGTTAAAAACCTTAAGCGATGCAACAACAAAATTTGTTTCAGAGGTATGTTTTTACCCAGTAGCATTTTCAAAAATTTATTATTATCCAGTCATGTGGCATGAAATAATTTGGACAATTAGTCAAAACATGTAGACATTGTTAACTGTGGAGTGGTGAGAGTTCATATATTATATTTTATTCAGTATCTCTTCATGAACAAGGCAACCTTAGCTAAAAAAAAAGTTTTTAAAGCAACTTTTAGTGTGGATATAAGTGATTTTAATGTTTGTATATATTTATGGTTTTATGTCCCAGCACTGAATGTTTGCCGTATATGTGTTGTGCTCTGCCCTGAGTCCCCTGCGGGGTGAGAAGGGCGGAATATAATATTTTAAATAAATAAGTAATAAAGAATTATCCCCCAAATACAAGTAAATACAAGCATGATTAAATGCAAATAATATCCATCATCCAGTATACAATTATACAAGAGAAATATAGGCTTCTGAGAAGATAAAAATGAAGCATGGCAGGACTTATGAACTCTTACACATTTCCTGCCAGCAAAAGAGTTAACTATTACTTCTTAGATGAGCTCCCGGTGGCACAGTGGGTTAAACCCTTGTGCCAGCTGGACTGCTGACTGAAAGGTCAGCGGTTTGAATCTGGGGAGCAGGGTGAGCTCCATCTGTCAGCTTCAGCTTCCCATGTGGGAACATGAGAGACGCCTCCCACAGGATGGTAAAACATCTGGGCATCCTCTGGGCAAGGACCTTAGAGACGGCCAATTCTCTCACACCAGAAGCGAATTGCAGTTTCTCAAGACACACACACAAACCTCTTAGAGAAGCCAATCAAAAAGTGTACAACTCTTTGCATTTCAGTAACTTTTTCTCTCTTTTTTTCATTTACAGAATAAAAACTTACCCATAGAAAATACCACAGATTGCTTAAGCACTATGGCCAGTGTTTGCCGAGTCATGCTGGAAACCCCGTAAGTAGAAGGCCTGTCTCAGACATGATATGCAGGAAAAGAAATAGTAATGGACAGAAGCAGAGAGTGGGACCCATTCGGCCCCCTGCAGACCAGGGAATTCCCAACCTCACATATTCCAGGATTTGGGGACTTCGGTCCCTAGATCCGCAGCCAGCTTGGTCAACTATCAGGAATTCTGGGAGCTGAAGTTCAAAACACTTGGGGAAGCAACAATTGGGAAATGCTGGTCTAAGCCAGGCAAAGAAGAATATACCTCTCATTTTAATGGAAAAATGAGCACTGCCAGAATCAGATTCTCAAAGCATTTGTTATGCTGAACTATGCATATGAGCAGATTTATTTTTTTGAAAATTACATTATCAAAATCTACAAAGAATAAAATAATAACTTGATGGTTTTATTCTAGCATGTGCTCCAAAACAAGCTGTTGTTATATTGGATTTTCTAGATACCCATATAGAGAAGTGATGGAGAATTCCAGCCTTTTCTCCTTCTGTTTTCCACTCCTTCTGTCATGCGCAATAAGAGGGCCCAGATGTACACACACACACACATGGAGACAACATTTCACATGATGAAGAATGCAGTTCTAGTCTAAGTTATCGGTCTCCAGGTTCACCATTTTTCTTTGTCTCAGATGTGCTTCCATTCACTAACATGACAAAAAAGTAAAAGAAAAGGATATGTTTCTTGCAGAGTTTTATGTGTGTGTGTTTCTCATAGACTCCAGCTCCTATCTGGCTACCTATATAGCCCTAGTACTATATCCATTGATGCACAAGACTGCACAAGGAGAAAGAAAGCCAGAGAGACAGAGGACATCATTCACATTAGTCTGGTTTATTGTGATGTTACTGCATTTGGAATAACAAGTAGATCATAGAAAGAGAAGACTTGTTCAATGTATTGTCGAAGCCTTTCATGGCTGGAATCACTGGGTTGTGGTAGGTTTTTTCGGGCTATATGGCCATGGTCTAGAGGCATTCTCTCCTACTGGGATCCTGGTAGCGGTTACAGCAAAATTTCCTCCTTTCGTTAGTATGGATACTTGGTCTTCAGAGAGTTGTTTGTCTGTTAGGTTGATGATGGTCCGCGATGTATCCAGTTCTGGTTTCGGCTGTTGCTTTTGGCGTTTGTGGAATTTTTGTTTTTTTCTGTTGGTGTGGACAGCCATGTGTTTCTCCATTTTCCTGTAAGTGAGGTTGTCTATTTTGTCCCAGTCCTGGGAATTCATCTTCTGGCTGATGTTGATATGGAGGTGCAGCAGTTCCTTGTCTGTGTTTGCGAGTTCTTTGCGGATGGTGTGAATTCTCTCTCGTAAGAGGTTGCGTTCCAGGCGGTCATAGATCCGGTGAGCCTGTGGTGTTTTGAAAGTCCTTTTGGCTGCGAGAAATTGTGGGATGGTATCTGTGTCTCTGCAGCGTAGAAGGAAAGTCAGGGAGCACAGTAGATGTGCTTTCCTGGTCCTTAGTTTTTCCAATTTTCGTGTGTCTTGGAACAGTTTCTACCCGTAGAGATGTTCAATGTATTGTCGAAGGCTTTCATGGCTGGAATCACTGGGTTGTTGTATGTTTTTTCGGGCTGTATGGCCATGGTCTAGAGGCATTCTCTCCTCTAGACTATGGCCATATAGACCGAAAAAACCTACAATAACCCAGAAGACTTGTTCTTAAGTCATTTTGAATACATGCCTTTCTTGTATCAAAATCTAGCCTGTACTTTTTGCTTGACACCACATCTTGAAAGACGTCTGGGGAAAGGTGTGGAGAAGGGTTCCAATAATTTCTAAATGCTCTGCAAGAGTTAGCAGCTAACCAAATGTAAAGTAGGGAAGGCTTTTTCCGTCCTTTTCAGGCAGGACAAAAAGAATGTTTCCCCACTTCTCTTCTAGAGGCGGGTAAAAAAAAAACTGATTACGTGCCATGTCTCTCTTGATGTTGTCTTTAAATGTTAAGTTTTGCACCTGCCTTCAAGTAAATTAAGCTGGGAAAAGGTTGCATTCATGGTTCTTACAGGAACTTTGTTTAATATTTAAGTCCTGGAAATGATCTGCAAGCATCTTCATAGTTTTGTAAGTGGTTTCATCTCATTCATAATTTAAAGAAAATAGAGCTGAGTATCTTTGAATGAAGTGCTTTTGGAATACAACTTGAACCTCTTTTAGCAAAGGCAGCTTTTCTGGATTTGGTAAAGATCTAAGTGGTAGATAGACAAGCTTCTGCAGTGTTCAGCTGGCAAGAATGGATAGGATTGTTGAATATGGTGGCTAACAACTTGAACTTGCAAAACTGCCAGAGCTGCTTGTTGTGCAGTCACTCATCACAAGTAGTTTTTCTTTTCAAGATGCATTGTAAGATGCAAGATGTGTATGAGAAATCTCTAAGCATCACCGTGTGCTAATTTATTTATATTTAATTTATTTATATTTACCATGTCAGAAGCGAACCGAGGGTACAGTTGTAATGTATTCAAAAACACAAAGTTTAAAAGCTTGACATTATACTAAATGCCTTTGACCAGTAGCTGGCCACTTGGAGTGCCTCTGTTGTTGCAATAAGAAGGTCCTCCGTTGTGCAAGTGGCAGGGCTCACAGTGCATTGTAATGGGTGGTCTGTGGTTTGCTCTTCTCCACACTCGCATGTTGTAGATTCCACTTTGTGCCCCCATTTCTTAAAGTTAGCTCTGCATCTCATGGTGCCAGAGTGCAGCCTGCCCAGTGTTTTCCAAGTCGCCTAGTCTTCTATGTGCCCAGGAGGGAGTCTTTCATTTGGTATCAGCCATGAGTTGAGGTTCCAGGTTTTCGCCTGCCACTTTTGGACTCTCGCTTGCTGAGGTGTTCCTGCAAGTATCTCTGTAGATCTTAAAAAACTATTTCTTGATTTACGGCATTGGCGTGCTGGCTGATATCTGACCAGGGGATGGGCCAGAGATGTCACTGCCTTGGTCCTTTCATTATTAGCTGCTACTTCCATGCAGGTGTCAGGTAGTGCAATACTGGCCAAATAGTGTAATTTCTCCAGTGATGTAGGGTGTAGGCATCCTCTTATAATACGGCATGTCTCATTAGGAGCCACATCCACTGTTTTAATGGGTGAGATGTATTCCCCACTGGACATGCATATTGGGCATCAAGAGTAGCAAAGTGCAAGGGCAGTTGTCTTCACTGTGTCTGGAGGTGATCCTCAGGTTGTGCCAGTCAGCTTTCATATGATATTATTTCTAGCACCCACTTTTTGCTTGATAGACAAGCAATGCTTCTTATAAATCAGAGCACAGCACAGGACAACTTGCAGCATGCAACCTTGTTCTTAAAGACTGAGCTCTAACTTCCTATAAATGTGATGTTTATGGGAAGAAAGAGACTTTTCTTTGAAAAAGCCATTATTTTTTGAGAAGGAATGCCACTGAATATGTTAATGTGTTGGAGGTGGAAGTTAGTTTGAAATTCAACTTTCAGTAACCACTTGTATTCTCTGTGTATGTGTTAACATTTCCAGGGAATACAGAAGCAGGTTCACGAATGAGGAAACAGTATCGTTCTGCCTGAGGGTAATGGTGGGTGTCATAATTCTCTACGACCATGTGCATCCAGTAGGCGCCTTCGCAAAAACTTCAAAAATTGATGTAAGTCCACCAACTGAATAGCTAGAATACTTTTTGATCCTCTGAATATTTGTATGGACAGAGTGGGATGGGGGACATCCTTCAGAGCAGGAAAGATAACCTTAAAAGTGTGCTTCCAAGTATTGGCATACACGATACCGCTAATTCATGGCTGCATCAAACATTACTTGTAGCTCTAACTTTAGTGCTCTGGGACTGTTTCCAGACATTCAAGTTTATGAAGATGCCATTTATTGAACCAGCTCCTTGCTGTGAATGATAATCACCAGCAGCAATAGATCACACCAATTGAAAGGCTAGCAATTTGAAGCCTGGGTTGGAGTCGGCACCCAACCTTTAGCCCAACTCACTGTCCACTAAAGCAGTTTGAAAATAGCTGTGAGCTGGGAGTAGAGAAATTAGGCACCACTTAAGCGGGGAGGTATTTCATGACACTATAAAAAGGAAATACCAGAAAATGCCGGCGATCAAAGGAGGGAGGAAGTCTGTGATCAAGGGCTCTTTGTCATAGAGGATGGAGTGGCAGCAACCCCAGTTGCCGAAATCAAGCACAACCTCCAGGATGCCGAATTTGGGAAAAATGCTGACATAATGCCTCTTATCTGTTGTTTATCCTGTCTGTTTAACAACATTGAATGTTTGCCGTGTATGTGTTCTGTGATCCACCTTGAGTCCCCTTCGGGGTGAGAAGGGCGGAATATAAATGTTCTAAATAAATAAATATTTGACTGCCTTGACTTTTTTGCAATATCAAACTTTGCTTAGAAACTGTAATCGTATTGCAGGAGGTGAGATGATCACATTCAGATCATTTTCCATACTTTTATAAAGATGAGACTTCAAGTTCTGAATTGGTTGCATTCCACTCAGACCTTTTTCATGTTCTGTGTTTTCTTTTTGTATCTGTTTCTAGATGAAAGGATGCATTAAAGTTCTCAAAGACCAGCCTCCAAACAGTGTAGAAGGCCTTCTAAATGCGCTCAGGTATTTTAACTCTTTAACACTGAGTAGATAACACAGCTTTTCTTATTTTCTTCTTCCCTCCCTCCCTCCCTTGGTAAATGTAGTCATTGCACTTTAAAATTTTTGCACTTTCTTTCTTGTGTCCCATTATATTCTGGGAGTGCATCCACACTGCACAGTTATAGCAATTAAATACCACTTTCATTGCCAGGGCCCCATCCTATGAAATTGTGGGATTTGGTGAACTATTTGGAAAGCACCAAAGTATTTTGAAAAGAAGGGATTAAGGAATCACTTTCATTCTTTAGGGAGTACTCAGCCTTCCTTGGAAATCAGAGTGCACTAGCACACTCTTGCAGAGAATTACACCTACTTCCCTTAAGTAGGATGGTGCCATGGCGGTTAGTGGTATCAGAGTCTTGTAATTGTATTCTAAACAAGAATTGTGTTCCTTTGTTGATGTTGCTTATGTGTGTATCGGCTTTCTCACTTAGAAGCAGTAAGAGCTTCTTATACATATATCAGGCACGGGCAAACTCTGGCCCACCAGGCATTTTGGACATCAACTCTCACAATTCCAAACAGCCAGAGTTGGCCCATGCCTGCAGTATATAGTTCTCCATAATTCTTTTTTTGGTATTTCCATTTTTCTCAGGCAGCACAATCTATGCTGAGAATTATGAAAGTTTTAGCCCAAAAGCACCTGGAGGCCCATATGTTCCCTATTTCTGTTGTAAGCTTTTGTTTCTGGGAAGTAGTCCTTCAAAAAATATTCTTAGTAAATCAGGCAGTCCAGCCTTGTCAACCGCTTGGTATTGAGAGGCTGCCCTTTTGTATCACGATATTTACTTGATTGTAATGCAACATCAATTGTAATGTGCACCTTAATTTTGAAGATTTGCATTGCAAAAATGTAATGCATGGCTTCCCCTTGCCTGTCAGTCATTCAATAAATATGCTACTTTATTAAATACTCTAAAAGCATTGTAGCATTCTTTACACAAGGGAGCAGAAGTTCTGTTTCTGGAAAGGCCGGATACTGTCATCACAGTGCAGATTTTCATAACTTATTTTTCCTTGATATTTCATTCTGACCTGCATCTTTATTTCCCACTCAATTCCCCCCTTTTTGTGGGAGTGGGTATTAATGTTTTTTTTATACTTTGTAAAGCTGCCCTTTCCCCCCACTTGTGTGTGGATGATATTATTTTGGCTACTTGAGGATGCTTGTTTCAGGAATAGAATTCATTATTAAATAGCTAAGGACACAAATCATTATTGCTTATGTGCTGTTGGCATAGTTTCCCAGCATTTTTAGAAAAGTGCCTGTGGCTGAGCAGCTCATTGGGTGCTCTAGGGCAGGAGCACTTGGCAGGCATGATAGCCTGGTGTCCCCAATGACTGCAACTGCTCCATTTATGCTCTGTAAAATCTTTTCCTCCCCCTCTTTAGGTACACAACAAAACATTTGAATGATGAGACTACCTCCAAGCAAATCAAATCTATGTTGCAATAACAGTTACCTGGAAGTCCTGCCCTGCTGAATACAGTATTCTGCAATGACTGAGATGCACAGATCTTTTCAAAGTGATTGCAACTACTATCTTGTTCAGTCTTGCTTTTGAATTTTTTTCTTGTCCTCTCTTCCATATTAAAAAAAAATCACGTCCTTGTTCTTGAGTAAGCTGGTAACTTCTTTTTTCTGTGCCAAAATCAATGAAAATTATCACCTCTGGAAGGTAATTTGTACTTTTCAGAGTGGCCATTCTACGTGGCAGCTAATTCTGCGTTGCGTTTTTGGATTTCTCTGTACTGGAGAAAGTTCTGTGACTTGAACTAAATATTTTTAAACGTGTTTTTTTTTCCTTTTTTGTTTTTGGAAAACTAATATTTAATATTGCTTCTTGTGCATGGCAAAACTGCCTATTTCTGCTATTTAAAAGAAAGAGACAAAGAAAGAAAGAAACCCTCATTTTCTATTGCAGCTTTTTTATGTGCAACCATGAGGAAACTTCAAAGCAGATTTGTTTAAATTAACTGTGTTTGTACAAATGGTACCCAACACAATGGTTTTTTTTTAAAGAAAAAAAATAAATGGGTAAAAACTGTTTGTTTTAAAAAGTTCAGTTTGCATTTTGACTCATTTTTGTAAGGATGTCTGTTGTATGTTTAATAACTAACGTTTCAGGAAAAAAAGTGGTGTGTGCGTAGCCAAATTACGTATGCATGTTTGTGTCAAATGATTGGCTGTGGAAGACACCAATAAAGACTGGCTTTCATTTTTCTAAGTGTGGTTTGTTTCACTAGTGTTGTTGTCAAGCCTTTGCATTTGTTGCTTTTTGGTCCAGCCTTAAAAAGGAAACAGCTGAGATATTTGCAAAGCACAACAAAGGTTGGTGATGCTATATAAACAGATCAGGAGCCAAAATAAGATAATTGTAATATTGTTGGGAGTCTGAACTGTTGGGCTCAAAAATAACCCTCAGTTGGGGTGATTCCACCATAAATATAGCAGAGTATTTATTTGTTTTGAACATTTATATCCCATCCTTCTCACCCCCAAAGGGGGACTCAGGGCGGCTTACCACCGCCAATCATTAGATGCCACACAGACAATAGCAATCAAATCATAATTAAAACATTAACTAAACAGTAAATTAAAAACATTTATTTAAAAGTTAATAAATCTGAGTCCAAATCCGAATCCACATCCAAAGTCATAGTCCTAGGTCTATCCATTGTCAGTCCATTGTCAATCAAAGAAATAGTATGCATTATTATCGCTGCACCTGTTGCCCAAATTCTTAGTCCCATAACCATGATTTAGGTTTTTTCTAAAGGACGGGAGAGACAGGGCCGACCTGATTTCATTGGGGATTGTGTTCCACAGACCGGGGGGGGGGGGGGGGGGGGCACCACAGAGAAGGCCCTGTCTCCTATCCCTGCCAGTCATGCTTGCAAGGGTGGCGAGATCAAGAGCAGGGCCTCCCCTGACGATCTTAAGCTCCAGGTTGGATCATAGAGGGAGATAGATTTGGACAAGTAAGCTGGGTCAGAACTGTATTGGGCTTTATAGGCCAAAGCCAGCACTGTGAATTGTGCCTGGTAGCAGACTGGCAGCCAGTGCAGCTGACGCAACAGTATGCTCCCTGTACGCTGCTTTGATGAGCAATCTGGCTGCTGCCCATTGGACTTCTGAATAGTCTTCAAAGGCAACCACACGTAGAGCGTGTTGCAGAAATCTATTCAGGATGTACTAGAAGTAAATTTCATAACCAGCAGAAACTTATGTAAGCCAGGGTAAGCTTCCATCAATAGGATGGCACAGGATTGCAGAGTCTGAATTTTAAGTTCAAAAATATTTATTCAAGTAAAAGATATGTATTCTAGATAGAAAAGGTCTTGGAGCTAACTAGCTTACTTAAATCTCATCTTAAGTAAAATGATAAAATGTCAAAAATATCCATGCAACTACATTTTGCCAAGAGGGAGGCAAAATGTGTCTTCACTGAAAGTAAAAGACAGAAAAAAAATGGAGGCTGGCTACATGGCCAAACCCAGGGCAATCAAAATGCCTTTTGAAAGGAACTGACTTCACAGAGATTACATTGCTACATTTTCAAAGGGGGAGGAGATAGTGGCAAGGAGGAAGAGTAAAAACAAAGCCACTTCTGGGATAAGCATGCATAGGAATTTGGGGGGAGGAATCCCTCAATCTAACCCTATCTCTAGTCTAGCTACTCATTGAGAACTGGAGACTTGATGATAGAAGAGACTTGTGCAGTCCAAAGATGAAACACCCAACAAATATCACAAGAAGCTTAACCATAGAATCAAAGAGATAGTAAAGACTCCAAAGGCCATCCAGTCCAACCCTCTGCCATGCAAGAAGATATGATCAAAGCACTCCTGGCAGATGGCCATCCAGCCTCTGCTTTAAAAACTCTAAAGAAGGAGTCTCCACCACAAAACATTCAAGAAACCTTCTCACTGCCAAGCAGCTCTTAGCACCAGGAAGTTTTTCCTAATGTTTAGGTGGAATCACTTTTCCCACGGTTGGAATCCACTGTTCCTTGTTCTAGTCTCCAGAGCAGCAGAAAACAAGCTTGCTCCCTCCTCTGTGTGACAGCCTTTCAATTATTTAAATATGGCTATCAGGTCCCCTCTCAGCCTTCTCTTTTCCAAGCCAAACATCTCCAGCTCCCTCAGCCACTCCTCGTAGGACTTGGCTTCCAAACCTTTGATCATTTTGGTCACCCTTCTTGGGACACATTCCAGCTTGTCACTATCCTCTGCATCAATATATACTTGATTTTGTACACACATGCATTTTTTGGGGTATGAGACCCAAAACCCACTTGAATTCTGTATTGGAATCGGAAAATACTCCTCAAGAACGCAAGATTTGCTTGTCTCAATGAATGATGGTTCAGATATGTGTACATTCTCAAATATATTTTTCCAGTCGTGTACATAGTTGTGTGCCTTCAAGTCATTTCTGAACAATGGCAGGCCTATCACGGGGTTTTCTTGGCACGATTTGTTCGGAAGAAGATTTTCATGGCTGAGTGGAAATTTTAACCCTTGTTTCCACAGCCATAGCCCATAGTCAAATCAATACACCATATTGAGATATAATTAAAAGAAAACCTCCTGAAAACTGGAATCTAAAAGCCGCACGAACACTTTCATTCAGATTATTTTTCTATGCCAGGAGCGATTTGAGAAACTGCAAGTTGCTTCTGGTGTGAGAGAATTGGCTGTTTGTAAGGACGTTGCCCAGGGGACACCTGGATGTTTTGATGTTTTACCATCCTTGTGTTAGGCTTCTCTCATGTCCCCGATGGGGACTGGAGCTGACAGAGAGCTCATCCATGCTCGCCATGGATTCGAACTTCCAACCTGTTGGTCTTCAGTCCTGCCGGCAAAAGGGTTTAACCCATTGCGCTACCGGGGTGAACATGCACATCATCAACTGAAAATATTTATACAAAATCACAGTTAATATGAATGTCTTTCCCTTCCCCAAAGAAAATGAAGAAGGTGATGGTACTCTTATCACAAAAAGCTGAAGGAAAGCTTGAGTAGGTTCCTTTTGGGTGGGCTACAACTATGACATTCCTCAACCATCATATCAGAAGCAGAGCTCGGGGAGTTTTGGTCCAGCCCAAAATAATAGCTCAAAGCTCTCCAGGCATCCTTGCCATTTTTGCACCCCGACTACTTGTTTAGTTCTGTTTATTTGGATTTTGTGTAAGTCTTTGCAGGAGAATAAGATAGGGGCTGTTTGGGGAAGGTGTGGTTCTCGGGACCATCTTGGGCCTGCCCTTGAGATGAACTCTGCTTAACTGCCCTCTGCGGAGTATTGCCTTTCTGCAACCCCATTGTGTGAAGTCGAGATATTCTCCAGATAGAGAGCCTTGTTCTTGGAAAATAATCTTTACAGGACAGAAGGGTTTGTCCACCTTTTGTTAGGGGCTGTTACACGTTGTGGTTGCTTCTCTGTCCTTTTCCCTTGCACCCAGCTTCATTTGTGTAGCTGGGTGGAGCTCCTGATCCTTTAACAGACTTCAAGACAGGCAGAAATTCGACAGTGTCAAAGTTTAAAAGGCTGTCTTTAAAGGAGACTTAGGCCAACAGGTGGAATGGTTCTACCTCAGCTATTGCATGCTTTCAAGTTGTTTCTGGCCTCTAACAACTCTTAACACAAGCCTATTACGGGGTTTTCTTGGCAAGATTTGTTCAGAGGGGTTTTGCCATTGTCTTCCTCAGAGACAAAGAGCAGGACTTGTCCAAGGTCATCCAGTGGGTTTCATGGATGATAGGAATTCAAACCCTGGTCTCCAGAGTCCTAATCCAACTCTCGAACCATTACTGCTGGTTATGTCACACCAAAGACTCCTCAGCAATCTCATTAATGTTTGGAGCTGAGGAGAAGAGACAGATCCAGCAAGGTAATATTTTGATAGTTGGAACATTACTGGAGACCAAGGTTCACTTGACCACACAAAGCCTTTCGGCAAGCCATACTCTCCTGCTCAGAGGAAGGCAAATCTTGCCAAGAAAGCCCTGTGTTAGGTTTGCTTTAGGATCACCCTTGTCGGGAATAATCTTTCTCTCCTACTTTCTCCCTTTCTCCCTGGCTACAAACTGCTTTCACAGTGCAGAGTTTTCTCTCAACTCAGTTGGGAGAAGATAGCAGAATTTGGCTCTTCCCAGTAGGCTCTGGTAAAAGCAAACTTGTAGCTTCTCCCAGCCTGTACTTTTTCCATCATTAATACCTTTTGACATCTAATATTGCTTGGCCACATGTATTTTAAACACAGCATTTGTTTTGGCACAAATTTACTGCGAATCTACTGCAAAGGGGTAAAACAGTGAGTCAATTGAATGCAATCTGCTTTGGAATATTGAATGCAGTGTGCCGCAGCGAAAATACAGTCAACTCTCCGCATCCACAGATTATTCATCCATGGAGTCAAGCAACCATAGCTCAAAAGTATTCTCTCCCACACCAAAAAATTAAAATAAATAAAATTAAATAAAGTTAAAAAATACAAAAAGCAAACTTTGATTTTGTCCTTTTATATAAGTGTCACTGTTTGACAACATTTTATATAATGGATTTGAGCATGTATCAATTTTGGTATCGATCCGCAACAGAACCTGGTGAAAAAAACCCAGTGGATATTAAGGACCCATTGCAAGCTGAGGACAAAAGCTGGGAGGAATAGAAAGTATCTGGGACAGAAAAGCATCTGAAAAGGTGGGATGGCAGACATTTATTATTTGGGATCATCCCTTCCGCAACAGGACATTTGGATGGCGTTCTGAGTGCTGACATTGTTGATTTGGTTGCCACTTTGGTTACATTCTGTAGCTGTGGGCACCATCTCTTTTCCTTTGCATCAGGCAACAAATAAAAAGTGTTCTTTTGATCAACCCTGTCACCAGCTATCATGGGCGATAGTGAGCTAGGATTCATCTACACCAGTGTTTCTCAACCTTCCTAATGCCCCGACCCCTTAATACATTTCCTTATGTTGTGGTGACCCCAAACCATAAAATTATTTTTGTTGCTACTTCATAACTGTAATTTTGCTACTGTTATGAATCGTAATGTAAATATCTGATATGCAGGACAGATTTTCATTCACTGGACCAAATTTGGCACAAATACCTGATACGCCCAAATTTAAATACTGGTGAGGTTGGTGTGTGTGTGTGTGTGATTTTGTCATTTGGGAATTGTAGTTGCTGGGATTTATAGTTCACCTACAATCAAAGA